CTGTAACTGCAGGGTGCAGTGGAGGCAATTCAATTACAGCCTGGGCTTACCTATGTACTTCTGACCTATAAAACACAAGAGGCCTTTGTGTCTAACTGGCTTGGCCATTAAGGTTGCTGAAGATCACAACAATGCTGATCTTTTCTATTTAAGCTAAATCAATGTGGACAAATCATTATTCAGTAGCTTTAATTTAATTAGTAAATTAAATACACTATTTTACAGATCTTGTCAAGTACCTATGAAAAGAAAGATTCATTTAAGCGGGAGGTCACCAATAAGCCCAGCTAATTTAACTCATAACCTTAACTGAATCTCATCTCGAACATCCAGCAGGTTCTATTCACCACGGCTTGACAGTCTCTTGCAGTTGTGGCTAACTCCTAATCCCAAAGAGATCTTATCCTGTATCCAAACACTGTTTTGTGCAAACAAAACAAAACAGAAACAAAAAACAACAGCAAGCAATAAAACCCAAACAAGCAATCCCCCTGCCAGCACCAACAGAATCAGATTTCCTTTAAATTATACTATTGCAAGAGAACGTAATCAGGTTACCTCTATTATGTTGCTTCCTTAAGATTTTCTATTATCTATACTTAATTGAGATACAGAGCTCTTTTCAGCTATAAAGACGACAGCTACTTTATTAAGGCTTAAATCTGATTTCTTAATGATAGGCTGCTTCCTTTAAAGACTGGAAACCTGTATAGCCTTCTTATGATGAACGCAGATCTGGCATGGTTGAGTCTGGTACTTTATTTAAGTCCAGCCTGAGAGTCTCTGAAGGGCGCTAGTTTAAAAAAAAAAAAAAAAAAAGTGCCTTGCTTTTGTTTCAGTGTTGGAATTTGAGGCTGGCACTTAAAAAGAGAGCCCACCGCATCTAAAGTCTAGGTTGAGCCCTGTATAAGGACGGAGAAGTATTTCTCTGAGATAATTTAGCCATGGTAGTTTCTGATTCGGAGACATTCTCCCCTCCCCATGTGCCATTCACGTATCTGTTCAGTTACAATGAATTACAATTAATTCATCTTTTAGAGATTTGTGACATCCTTCAAAACAGCAATAGATATAGCCTAAGGAGTGGCAAAACCAGACTAAGAAGTCACTGATTTCAATAATAATGGCAGCACGTAGCCTCCCCCCACCCACCCCATCCCCCAATATGGAAAGGCAGAATTGATTCTTAATTTCTCTGGGCTCTGGATACACAGATTTTCTCAACTAACTGGTGAGAGTCCATATTTATATGTACAAATTTCTTCTAAGGCATGTATCTATTTAGTCATTAAGTTCCAGATCCTTAAACACTCACAGGGACAGAGCAATAAATCTTCCCTCTGAGAACGCAGCCTAAGAGGGAGAAGTTAGGGGAAGGAAAGAGAGCCACAGAACTGCTATTTATGGAGCAGGGCTGCAGAGTCTGGGTCTTTCTGACCCGCGGTATGTGTAATTACGTGTCTCACTGCGGGCGCTCTATTGCTCAGTCCCTTTGCCAAGTCCTCTATTCACATACTTTTTGGATATGGCGTCAGTTAAACTTGAGCTGTGTTCCTTATGACGACCAAATTAATGGTCTGACAGAGGCTTTCTCAATAAACACGGCAAACTGGCCGTATTCGAAGGTTTTAAAAACCATTTCTTTTCTGCTCAAAATTCTGACAAACATGTCTCAAGGCGGACTGGGACAACTTCATTACCCTCCCAACACTGACTGCCTTTTTTGTAAAGAAGGCTGTTTAATAACACGTCCACTGTTTTCACAACTACATTATTCCAGTCGGTCACACTTTCCAGTCTTCAGCAAGACACTTGTGTTACGAGAGATAAAAACATGAAAAAGGAAATATATTGCAGAAATCAAAAACCTTATCTACTTCTAGACTCTCCCTCTTTGCCATAATTCATTCAAGAAGGCCCCCAGAATAATTTTTGATGTAAACTCGGCTACAAACATACATCACTATGCTGATAAAAATCACTGGCTAAACTTAGGAAATATAGTGACTTTCATTTCTTGAGTGCTGTTAAAATAACTTTTTTTCTAAGGTTCAGCAGACACAAAAGATAAAAAGGGTTACCATTAATCCTTTAAAAAAAAAAAAAAAAGAAGAAACAGCCCCATAGATTAATTCTGTGGTCTGATGATGGTCTTGAAGATGAACTTTTTAGATTAAGTCACTGAATTAATTTGATGAAGATACTGGAAATCATAGAAAAAAAATAACAGCATCAAGCCGATTCAGTTAATATGTCTTTGTTTGGGCACTTTACAACATGAATTATGCTGAGTAACTTTTGGTTTCTAAATTCTGTTCACATTAGGTTCAATCTGAAGACAGCAAACATTCCTTGAGGACCACTCTGCAGGCACTGTGCAGAGGACACAGAAACCACTTCCTGGGTTTGGAAGATGAGTGAGCCAAGCCTGAGGAAGCAGACGTGCCTGTCAGTCAGACGGAGGGGCAGGGTGGAGGTGCACTCCGGGCAATGGGAACAGCAGAAGCACAGAGTTTGAGGTGTGTTTGTGTGCAAGCAGTTCACACTTGACTGCAGCTCAAGTTCAGGCTGGGAAATTATGGGCTACGAACCTGAAGCGAAGAGCCTTGTAAGGGTTAGGCTGAGGAATCTGGATTTTATTCTGTGAGCATGTAACTTTCAAATCTTTTTTTTTTTTTTTTTTAAGCAGCAAAATCGTTTTTATTGGTTAACTTGATTTATTTTTTTTAAGTAGACTTCATGCCTAGCACAGAGCCTAACGTGGAGCTTGAACTCACAACCCTGAGATCAAGACCTGAGCTGAGATCCAGAGTCAGAGGCTTAACTGACTGAGACACCCAGGTATCCCCGGCTGACTTGTTAAATGCAAAATCCCCAAAGAGAAAATAGTTGAGCTCTACTGGTTGAAGGGGAGTCCTTATGCCCAAGCCTGCCCTTTGCCCTGCCCCCAGACCCCCGAGGAACATGGTCTGGAAAGCACTGTGACAGGGCACAGGGACATAGGAAGTGTTTGACTGGGGCAATACTTTCCTTTGTTCAGGAAAGTGTCACAATTTCTAGACCTCTGGAGCCAGACTGAGAGAGAAGGAAAACCTCTTTATGACCCACATGTGCGGTTTTTACAGAGAATCACATAGTAGGTCTGTAAGTAAGACAAAAGACTCTCTTGCTGGGTTGTCAATACTGAAACAGTGGGCCCCACGTCTGCTCGCCATTTCTTAGGCTTGGAACTTGTGGTCCCTTCTCAGAGATGTGTGCTAATCCCTTCCTGACTGACTGATGGCAAGAGGCATCTGGGAGGTGTTGGCTATACATCCTTTCTTCTTCCCTCTCACACTGGCTGTGCTACACCCTTCACCTTTCAGTGCCCGAAGCACACTCCTCAGCAAGGGAATGTCTTAGTATGAGTGTAAGGAGAATCTGAATCCTGTTTCTAGTTCTTTCCCTAACCCTTCTACTCCAGCTTACCCCTCTATGCAACACGTGATTGCCTTTCATTTTTCAGAGACACGGAGAATTTATAAAATGTTACTTTTCAAAGCATCCTGAGTTCTTGGGAAGAAAGATGCTAGAACAATGACATCTTTATTGGCTGATAAGCCGCAGTGAGAGGGATTAGGAAGATGTTTATCTAAAGGCAGAGGCAAGGGCCCCAGAGCAGCAAGCAATTTTCTCCTCATCCCCTTCTGGCAGCCATCTTGCAGCATCTCCTGGCTGGGATGACAGGAATGGCAGGAAGCTGGGGGGCGGGGGAGATGGCCTGCCTCCTTTCCCCCTGTACCACTAGGTTCGCCCTTCTCACCCAGCTGGAGGCTCACAGGTCGAAAGGAGGAGACTGTGTAGCCCCACATAGCTGGATCTGACAAAACAAGCACCCACCCATAAAGGAGGCGATGCGGCAGGTGCCCTGTCTGTATGCCTCCTTCAGGGTTTTTTTTGTTCTTTAGGTCTCTGTTTAGTCAGTATTATCTCAAAAACTTGAACCATATGATAAACACTTGCTGGCCTTTACATTTATTATTGTTTCTTTTGAGTAGGTCATTCCTTATAACATTTGTTCCCCAATTCAGTGTGCACGGGAGTAAAGGGATTAACAAAAATCAGAAGTTCATGTCATCCTCCAAAGTTACTGAATCAGAACCCAGTGGGGATGAGCCCTGGGTAACTGCATTTTAAACAGGCTCTACAGGTGAGGCCGATATGTACCAGACTCTGACAACAACTGTCTTGTAGCCTTTCCCAGGCAGCTGACAAATTCTTGTATAGTTTAAACTTTTCTCTTCCATGGAGGAATTTCAGTGTGATCTGTGTCCTTTCTGCCTCTCAATGGGGACTGAAGTCTTAAAAATGATTAATCTAAATGCTACACTCAATTACTTAACTGCAAAAATATAATATGCCAGAATATACAACCAGACTGTATCTACTTTGATAATTTAAGCAGAGGAGTGCCAGCCCAGCAGTGATCTCTTCTGCAGGACCAGGCAGGAGTTTAATTACGAGCTGGTAGGTCATGCAGCTGCCAATAATCTGGAGGGTGTTGACACTTCTGGCTTGATGGATATCTAAATCTAGGCTGAGGCTGCCACAGGAAATCTCACAGGCTCCCTCGATCTGGAAGGAAGGCAAGTCCAGGTCCGACTGCCCAAGTCCCCCACATGGGAAGAGGAAGGGAGCACAAAGTGAAACGAGGGCTCTGCGGAGTGAAATTCTCAGCAGGAACCTGCCCCCAGGCCCAGAGTCCCCAGGGCGGGGCTCCTGAGGTCAGGAGCCAGGGCTGTGAGGTTCTCTGCTGCCATAAAGACGGAACGGGATGGGGGCCCATGTCAGGCTCTGGGCACCATAATACAATCCTGTTTGATTAAAAGAAACTTCTGGTAATGAATTAAACAGACCCAAGGAAAAAAGGACACGGTGGCAATATATTCTCCTGGCACCCAGCACACAGAGGGGAAGAGGGGGAAGAGAGAAAGGAGACATAAATAAAAGGGACTACTCACTGGGGCTTTTTTCTTCAGCAAGGTCACAGGCACAGAGCAGGTCAGAATCGATTGAGATGGGTTTCTGCTTAATCCAAAACTTAGTGCTGGCTTTCTGATTCGTAACAGGGTCTATCTCTACTTTGTCTCCAGAGATACCTATAAGGCCGGGAGGGGGCGGGTAGGGGGAGGACAAAAAAGAAGCCACAAAAAGTGGAAGATGTAAGTGATTTCAGTGTAATCATTTGACCTGTTTTGTATATTTTAAATCAGATGTACAAGAGCTCTTCCTTAGGGCTTTGGGGAATGCCACTGGCTTAAGACAGCCATAAGGGGACTCCAAAGGGCACACAGAAGATGCATAGCCTGGCTTCTCGGGTGGGTGAGCTGGGGGGAGAAACCACCAAGAAGCATATAAAAAGCTATTAAGAAACATGCTGTTCTAGACGCACCACAGATACAATACAGGGTTCACCTGCATAGTTAACCCAACATTATACCTCCATATGGTAGTGGTAATGAAATAAACCGTAACATGAGATTCGTTTAAAAAACATTTCGATCAGTGGTCTTTTTTTTTAATATACTAAAAATAGGAAAAATCTATCTTTTCCCTTCTCTGAAACTAAATAATTATCCAAGCTCTATTGAGAGGAAGTCACAGGGGGATCAAAGGGTCTTTTAGATAAAACCTTCCAAGTTCAAGTCTTAGAGCTTTGCTTCAGTCTGCGGAGGTCACTGCTTCTCCAGCTTAGGGAGAAATAGCACTGGTGTGAGATTTATGCGACAAAGACTTTATAACAGGAATCCAGCATGTTAAAGACTGGCACTGCGGGTTTCCTCTTCAGACATAACCTATTGTACGGTGACTGGGGGCAAAGTTGTTGGGAGAACAAAGGTAATGCCAGGGATGAAAGGTGCCCTGGGATAACTGTGGCGACGCACAGCAATCACTCTCCCAGGGTTACTGAGCGGCGGCTGCTCAGCTTGACACGCGCGATCCAGGTTAGATGCTCGCTTTTTCCTCTTTGGCTGAAAACTGAGGAATCTGTTCATGGAGTGAGACAAAAACCTTCAATATGCCTTCCAGAGTGGGCCCCAGATAGAATCTTGAAAGTAATTAATATTTAAGGCCATAGTTTAAAGGTCAGGGCAAAGTGGACAAAGGCAAAATTAAGCAAAGATACAAGAGAAAATTAAAACCATCAAATGTACATCCTGTAACAAAAAGACAGTCAGAATTAACATGCTTCGTTCCATGGATCACCCTGAGAAATTTTTCAGTACAATGCGGAGAAAACTTAGTAGGCCACAGGAAAAAGCAGATAAAAGAGCTCAGTTAAAAAAGCAAACAACCCCTCCCCCCCAAAACACAATGACTATAGTCTGTGAGCAAATTTAAAATTAAACAAAACAAAACAAAAAAACCAAACTGAACCAAAAAAACCAAATATAAAGAAAAACATCCTCGTGATAAGGTCTGCCACATACTCTGTTTCTGTTTTATTTTATGAATAAAGAAATCCCAAAGAGCGTGGTCAGACAAAGGCAGGAGGCCCTACAGATAGACAGACAAAACTAGTCTGGTCTGCAGTCTTCAGAGATGATGTGGTACAGTTGCTTAACCCTGGTCATTACTGTATGGTCTTTGGAAAAGATGAACTAGTATTTTTTTATTAATTGCATGCTGGAATTTGTCATTAGATATATTTCAGGAATACCATATTTCAATCAGGCATAATGTCATACGTCCAATGGACTCCGGCCGTTCAGGTCTGGATGATTCCAGGAGGGCGAGAAGGCATCAGGATACCGATTTTATTACATTTCACTTAAAATACATTACGACTACCCAGTTACACTCTTCCCTCCAATTTGGTCATTAATTGTTAAAGATCTGGACATCTCTATAGTTCCCTGAGAGAAGAAAAGTACTTACACCATGGTTGTTGGGAGCAAGTGGTATTTTTTTTTCTTTCTTTTTTTGACCCTCCTCCTTCTTATTTTGACATTTTTAACAGTCAAAACTGAGCAGAGCAAAATAAATGTGCATATCTCATATGTGGAATAGACCCTGCCCCACATTCCTTTCTCAGAAAGAGAGGAGGGGGGGAGATCAGCACCAGAGAGACACGGCTTTAAAATTTTGTTCTACAGCCTGCAACTCCTGAAGCCATAGTCAGTCAGTACTGTTAATGTACCTTGTTAATTTGATAGGATTTGTCAGGTAACTCCACTGGAAAATTATATAAAACTGTTCCAGATGAAAAGATGATAGTGACATGAATTAAAGTGATAGAACAATAGTGGAATATAAACCAGAAATGACACCCAAAGTGGCTGTTGATTTATTGCCGTACTGAGTTTGGTTCTGGGCTCCCATGTATATTAGTGCTACAAATCTGGGTCCATTTAGCAGAGGGATGCTCATACATACATCACCAGCTCCTGCTCCAAGCCAAGGTCACTCCCCATGGCATCAATCTTTTCAACAGAGCCTACTTCACAAAGCAGGACTTTTGTAACCATCTCAGATGTAACAGACTCTCGTCCTCTTTCATCTTTCTTTTATCATGTAAAGTACACTTTAACTTCTATTATTTTTATCTGCAAATTGTTACTGTATAGTTCATCCATTTCGGGCTGTATCTCTGCATCAATTGCCTACGCTCTGCACGACCACGAGAATGTTCTCCCAATGACGCCCTTTCCGGGGGTTATTGTGTAGTCACTGCTTGCAGAGGGGAACCCCAATTCTGGTGTTTGGGGATGAAGATGTGGGCGACTGAATGCAGTAGGTTCAAGATGGGCAGGCAGGTGGAACACCATTTAAACAACTGGTGTGTTCCAAAAAAGTTGCCTGTAAATCCAATTTTTTCCGAATCAAATCACATTTTCCCACTGACTTCTAGTTCCAGAGATACTTTATATTCATTTTGGATTGATCTGTAATTGGCAGGGGCTCCCAACACTTTAGTTTGAAGTTTCTCTGCCCTGCAGGCTTTCAGTCAGGTAGTTAATGATCTGTAAAACACTCGCCTGCCTAGAGGAGTCACTATTTAAAGGAACCGGTAGGGGGATCTTTCCTGATGGGAAAAATCCTTTTGTACATTAAATAATCTCACTGTACTTGAGATGTGCGTGAATCTCAGCTTCTTAAAGCGGGGCACGCAGCCCGCAGGAGCTGATCTGCACTTGCTGCACAAGTGACAACCCTCAGCTTCCAGTCTGGCAGGCCCTGAGGTGGTCCAGCCTTGGAGCGCATTCTCTTGGGCGGACCCGGAACCAAATGCTGAGGCCAGTCTGCAGAATCCAGCCTGGAAGCAAACAGAGACCTCTTCTGTCCCTGCCTTGGGAGTCCAAGGTCTCCTTTTTTGCTGGAAGGAGGAGGCAGCCTGGTGGAGAGGAGGCCAGTTAAGGAGGCTGACCCCACAGTCCAGGCCAGGGGCAAAGAGGGGTGAATATTACCTGACACAAATATGTTATTAGTAAGGTTAGAAATCCTGTGTGCACGGATTGAAACCTCACAACACCCAGATCAAGTTGGTTACTATATTTATCCCTATTTTATAGATGAGAAAATGGAAAAGCAGGGAGGTTAAGTAACTTGCCCAAGATCGTACAGCTAAAAAGTGGCAAAGCTGGAATTTGGAGAAAGTCAGGAGATTTGGTTCCAGAATCTGTCCTCTCAGCCACCATGTTATTCTGCAAAACCTGTGCTTGGTGTTTTATATAACATGCTCCAGGAGAAGTGAAGGTGCTTGTCCAAGGTTGGGGAGCTTGGTCCAGTGCTCTGCACGGACTCATTCGGTTGAGTGCAGACGTAAAGAGACTTTTTTTTTTTTTTAAAGCCAGAAGGGTCAAGAAGAGAAGGAGAGAGAGAGAGAGAGAGAGAGAATCCCAGGCAGGCTTAACACAATCAGCACAGGGTCCGATGTGGTGCTAGAACCAATGAACCATGAGATTATGACCCGAGCTGAAATTAAGAGTCAGATTCTTACCTGACTGAGCACCTCCAGTGTCTTTAAATTTTTATGAAGGAGCAAATAAACATTCAAATGTGCCAATAAATGCACACTTATTTTTGTTCAGACATGACAAACTGAAGCATGAAATCCTAGCAATAGTCTTCTTTATGACCAATGAGCATCGTTTTAATTTTGCTGGCTTAAGTTTTTGTGTAAAGGCATTGAAGGAAAGGCAGATGCATTCTTTAAAGTGTCGCTCACACAGTATGTGTAAGTAGTTCAAATTATAAACATGTGTCTGAGAAAACAAGGGAAGTTGGCTTTTGTGAAGTTTCCATTTCTCCAACTGAAATGGCCAACAGAGGAACACTTAATCCATCTGTGAAGGAATATGACACAACCATCAAAAATTATGTATAAGAAAAGCTTTGACTTGGAAAAATTCTTGTGAAGCTAAGTGAGAAGGACAGGAAAAATATTTATAGAAAAGGGATCAAAAGGATATGTTCCAGATGGGAACAGTGGTCAATTCTCGCTAGTAGGGTTAGGTCTTTTCCTTTTCTGTGTTTTTACAAAACAAAAATTGCACACTAAATAAAAACAAACATCAATTTAGGAGCTGACATTTTCTTGGTTTCTACTTCAGAATTCAGTACCCTTTCCCAACTTACAGTGAGGGGAAGGGAGTATGCTGAATCCTGTAACTAATGATCATGAAGGCAATCCTAAATGAAGACTCCTTCCAACTAGTAGTTCTCCAGCACCCACGAGGCTGGGCTGCTGGGAAGGGCTTCCGAGGCTGCATTATGGCCACCCTGGGGTCACTCCTGCAAACGCTGCCTCGCAGGGCTCCACCTGAGCAGCTGTAGCAGGTGAGGAAGAGAGCATGAGGGCTGGCCCAGAGTGGACGGGTCAGCCCCTTCACTCAGAAATAAGGGAGGCCACATGTCTCCTCTCACCAGCTCCCCTGCTACCCACCATCTATAGCCATCCGTCATGACCTTTTCATGCTCCCACTTCTGACAGCTTCCAGATACAGGGAGTCAAACTTCACTGGAAGCAAACTATCACGCCAACTGTCAAAGGTAGAAAACAATGCCTGATTGCTGTCCTACGTCAACGCCAGCATATAAATCCTTCCCTAACAAGACAGCTCAAAATAAACAAAAATGCAACTCTAATGTATATACA